CTATTTGGTCTTCTGGCACTATTCCTACCTCCTGGAAAGAGGCTATTGTTATTCCCATTTTGAAAGAGGGCAAGAACCCTTCTTTACCCTCGAGTTATAGGCCTATAGCACTTACAAGCTGCTTGTGCAAAGTCTTCGAAAAAATGATAAACTGCCGACTTGTACATTTTCTTGAAACAAATAATTTGCTCGACCCATTTCAGTGCGGGTTTCGAGAAAGTAGATCCACCACAGACCACCTTGTTCGTATCGAGGCACAGATCAGAGACGCCTTCGTCCATAAACAATATTTTCTCTCTGTGTTCCTCGATATCGATAAGGCTTATGATATAACATGGCGTTTCGGAATTCTAAGAGACCTGTCCCATCTTGGTGTGCGCGGTAGAATGTTTTCCATAATCGAGAGTTACTTGTCCAATCGGACATTCCGTGTCCGTCTGGGCAGTGTGCTCTCCCAAACATTTGTCCAGGAAATAGGCGTGCCACAAGGTGGTGTGCTTAGTTGCACACTTTTTATTATTAAAATGAATTCTTTGCACTTGTCCATTCCCCGCAATATGTTCTATTGTACATATGTCGACGACGTTCAGCTTGGCTTCAAGTCATGCAACTTGGCCATGTGTGAGCGGCAGGTTCAGCTGGGTTTAAATAAGGTCTCCAAATGGGCAGATGAAAACGGATTTCGACTCAACCCACAAAAAGCACGTGTGTTTTGTTCTCTCGAAAGGGAGGCATGCACTCGGAACCTGGCATTCGACTGAACGGGCAACGTCTGTCCGTCGAAGCCGAGCATAAATTCTTAGGCTTAATCTTGGACAACAAGTTGACCTTCGTACCCCACATAAAGTATTTAAAAACAAAATGTTTAAAAGCTATGAATGTTATAAAAGTGTTGTCACGTACTACGTGGGGTAGTGACAGGAAATGCCTCATGAACCTGTATAGAAGCCTTATTCGCACCCGCTTAGATTATGGGGCCGTTGTTTATCAGTCTGCGACTCAAAGTGCTTTGAAGATGCTGGATCCCGTGCACCATTCAGGCATCCGCCTTTCTACGGGTGCTTTTCGCACCAGCCCCGTAGAAAGCCTTTATGTTGAGTCAAATGAGTGGTCGCTTCATCTGCAAAGAACCTACATGTCCTTTGTATATTTCCTTAAGGTGAAAGCAGACAAGAGGCACCCCTCATACTCTACTATTAATGACTTGTGGAGCTCCATTCTTTTTCAAAACAGGCCTTCAATGAGGCAGCCCTTCTCAGTTCGCCTGAAGGGTCTAGCTGAGGACACTGGAGTGTCACTCAAACACAGTTTAATGGCTCCTGTAGCATACCCGCCACCGTGGCAGTGGCAGATTATAGACTGCGATGTGTCTTTCCTAGAAGTTACAAAACATGCACCTATTGCCCATATCCGAAACTACTTCCTGGAACTTCAACACAAATACATACGTCCTGAGTTCTTTACAGATGCCTCCAAGTCTAACTCCTCTGTGTCCTACGCTGCTGTCGGCCCATCCTTTTCGGATACTGGCCCTCTATATCCAGGCACAAGTATCTTCACAGCGGAAGCTTATGCGGTACTTGTGGCGGCTAAACACATCAAGCAATTACAAATACAAAAAGCTGTAATTTATACGGACTCCCTCAGTGTGATAACGGCTCTGCACACTCTTAAAAAACAAAAAAACCCAGTCCTTGTCTCACTTTACTCCATTTTGTGCACACTCTACACACTCAAACAACATGTTGTAGTGTTCTGGGTGCCAGGGCACTGTGAGATTCAAGGCAATGTGAGGGCGGATCAGCTCGCTGCATCCGTCCACAAAAGCACTGCCCCTACACCCATATCAATCCCGGCCCTTGATCTTAAGCCGTCTCTCTAACGAAACCTCAGGGACTACTGGCAGAGCAAGTGGGATACACACACACAAAACAAACTACACGTTATCAAGCCACACCTTGGCCATTGGCCACCAGTATCAAAATCACGTCACACAGAGGTAACATTAACGAGGCTCAGGATAGGACACACATACACGACACACTCATATCTTTTCTCCGGTGGCGATCCACCATTGTGTGACAGATGTGGTGAAGCACTAACAGTTTTTCACATTTTAATTCAGTGCAAACAATTGGACACTCTAAGAAAACAACACTTTCCTTCACCCTACCGACAACATATACCTTTACACCCTGCAATGTTCGTCGGTTGGGAACCGCTTTTTAGTCACAAATCATTGTTAGCGTTTTTAAAAGAAATTCATAGCTTTCATGTCATATACCCGGACATACCGTAGCACGACCTCTCCAGAGAGGTTTTCGCTGTGGTGGCTACACAATAAAGCACCTGCCTCACGGCCCTTGGACGCAAGGGTATGAACGAGTGAGGCACTTGTGCTAATGCCATACATGTCCACCATCGTTTTTATTATCATTAACTTTTGCCATCTATTCGCACCACACACACCTTTCACGGCATGGTCATGATTTTATTAATTGTATGTTTTTACCCGCTTTACTGCGAGGAATTTTATGGCCCTTATACAGCCGCTAATCACAATCATTGTCCACATTCCTGTCTCATGAACTGGCGCTCTTTGGCCATCAAATGACCCTTGCACCAAAAAACACCATATATCATCATCAAATTTTGAAATGATGTGTTTGCTCCGCAATTTGACTGAGTTAAGCAGTAATAATTGTCGGAAATTTATGCCAGGTAATCAATAGAGAGCTGTTGCTAGAAGTCAGGGAAAATTAATTCTACAAAAAAATATTTCCCAAGGTCCGCCGCATGTATAAAGTGTGCAGGTGGCTCTCACAGCCAGTTTCCAGTCGCTTTGGTTTTGTTTGTATCGTTATATCAGACACAGGGTCACATCTAGTCTCACTGGTCACTCCTATTACACGGTCGTCACGCACGCATAGGGGCGCATCAGCGCTGCAAAACACATGCGCTGCTTGAAACTGTCTTGCGACCCCACCTGAATTGAATGAGAACGAGCTGAGATTTCGTGGATGACAGCACTTCAGCTTCAAGTTTTATGGGGACGGTGTTTTGCGTCAGCCTGGGACATCCGTAGCCGTTCATGGGTTTGTTTTGTTCACATCCTCAAGTTATCTCCTTTGCAGAAAGTGCATCTAGCTTCTGACCTTTGTGCATAATCTTATAGTTACTCATGTTATGTGCGCAGTCCACACTTCGCTGGAGCGCGGTGTGGTGGTGCTGGCTGCAGAGCTTCTCGCAACGGCAAGAAGGCCTCTGGGGCACATCTTGGCCCTGACTACGAAGCAGTGCAAAACATTTTAGAACTGCGTGCGATATTGTCCTTTTTTTTATTACGACATGCACAAAGATGCAAAGAAATATGCTTGGATGCGTATATTGGAGCGCCAACCTATGTGGAGTGAGGTGGCTCATCGAAAGAGGTGACGCTAAATGAAATAGCGAAGTTAATTGGACATCTCATTTATAGAGGGACTATTCACATCATGTCATGATCAGTAAGTTTTTTGACAGCTCGTTCACAATTCACTTCTATTAGCGGGGAGCCCCGCCGCGGTGGTCCAGTGGCTAAGGTACTCGGCTGCTGACCCGCAGGGCGCGGGTTCGAATCCTGGCTGCGGCGGCTGCATTTCCGATGGAGGCGGAAATGTTGTAGGCCCGTGTGCTCAGATTTGGGTGCACGTTAAAGAACCCCAGGTGGTCTAATTTTCCGGAGCCCTCCACTACGGCGTCTCTCATAATCATATAGTGGTTTTGGGACGTTAAACCCCACATATCAATCAATCAAATCAATCTATTAGCGGGGACTCTTCCGCCCAAACAGATGTGCTTTCCAGGGTTCCTCAAGGATCGGTCCTTGGCCCTCTTTTGTTCCTCATATTCATCAACGACTTGTCATCTGGAATAACCTCATCCATCCGTCCTTTCGCCGACGACTGTTGTGTATCGCAAGATAATCAATAGTACTGATGAATCATCACTGCAGCAAGACCTTAACATCATTGAAGCATGGTGCTCGTGCTGGCTCATGGAACCGAATGTCTCCAAATGCTAGCACCTGCTCATTTCTCGCAAAAAATCCAACCTTCTTTTTCAGTACACCTTAAACTCCACTATGATATCTCAAGAGGATTCCTACAGCTACCTGGGTGTCCTCATAAACAGTACCCTGGCCTGGTCAGACCACATCATCAAACTTGCAGCAGATGCGTCCAGGACTTCTCAAATGATCCCTGCGTTCCTCCCCTCCCGCCATCAGAAAACTTAAGTACGAAACATTCGTGAAGACCAAACTAGAATTTGCTTCCGCCATTTCGAGCCCCCATCAAGATTACCTCATCTCTTCCCTTGAGTTAGTTCAGAATCATGCCGCCCGGTTCATATCATCTCAGTACAGTAAACATGCAAGCGTCACTCAGATAAAATCATGAAATCTTGACCTTACTCCCTTAGCTGATCGCAGAAAAATCACGCAGATAAGCCTCTTTCATAAACTGTACCACAACTTCTCTCATCTGCATGGCACTCTACTCATTCCACCCACTCGCACCTCTCGTCAACTGTTCAACTCTAAAAGTGTTCAACGTCTCCATGGATCAACTCGAGCCTTTAGCAAATCATTTCTGCTTTCAGCAATTGAACACTGGAACAGTCTTTTGTTTGTTGTTCAGGAGTGCGACTCAGACAAATTCAAAGTGTTGTTGTCTTCTGTTTCTAGTTAACTCTGCCGCCATTCTGCTCGTCAATTGGCTTCTTCTCAACAATAAAGTTTTTTTTTTGTTCTTTCTTTATGGTATTCAAAAGTATTTGTTGGGTCCTTGAAAGTCCTTAAAAACCCTTGAATTTTGTCTCATTCAGGTGCTATGAATCCTGACAGTGGTGTTGAATCTCTGCTTAGGTAATATTGCAAAAAGCTGTGTACACTTTTGTAGCTCTCCTCACATTTCCTTGGTGCTTTGTATGAGTAAGCGAGCGTGTGGGTTGTATTGCAGGGTGGCAGTTCCAGGCTGGGAACTGGTGAGGACACTGCCGAGGAGGAAGATGTGGACGACAGGGAGACGTTGAGCTATTTGCAGCCTGTACCAACCCGTCAGCGCCGGGCGCTGCTGCGTGCCAGTGGGGTGCGCAAGATCGACGCGCTTGAGAAGGAGGAGTGCCGTATCATTCGAGCATCACGGGAGTTTTGTGGCTGTGCCTGCAAGGGTTGCTGCTTGCCGGACACCTGCTTCTGCTCCCGTTCGGGCATTTCCTGTCAGGTGGGGGATGTTTCTGATTACTCTGCGTGGGCTATGAAATTGTCAGAACTGAAGCTGCTTGGGGTGATGCAGGCCTCATACCCTTGCAGAAACTTGGTGCAAGTGTATAAGGATAAGTAATGAACAGTCACCACAGACCTGAGATGACAGTGGGGGGAGCGGGACTACACTCCACACCTTGCCGTGTTTGGCTTAGCTGTTTCTAGAAAGAGGGAAATCCTGAGGCTCGAGCCTAGACTGGTTGGTAAGTGGACCTTTGAAGGGTGCAGTAAAGGAGTGACATGACATGTATGCATTGGTAGTGATTTCATTACCATGGTTATTTAAATTGATCACCGGTGATAGATGATTTGGATCGTTCATTTCGGCATGCTGATTTTGTTTCTCGTTCACCCAGCACTTTCTAGTACTTATTCCCGCCATTAAACTTTCAGAATCGATGTGAATTTGCCTGTTTGGCAACATAGTGATTTTTAGACCTTTGCACGAACCATTGTGCATGTGTTGTTGGGAAAATGCAATTACCTGGTGAAAGTTACAGAATTACGTGCCCTTCGGGGTTATGTGACAATAACATCAAAGTTCTGTCAAAAAACCCTTTATCAAATTAAAGTGTCAGCTTTGCAATCTGACAGTGTTGAGCTTTAATAATTGCCACAAAATTACACCAGCTATTGAATAGAGAGCTGTTGCTAGCAGTCAGGGAAAATTTATTATGCTAAAAAACATTTCTGAAGGACCGCCGCATATGTAAAGTGTGGATTTCTCAGTCAGTTTCCAGCAGCTTTGGTTTTGCTGATGTTACATCAAACACAGTGCCGCATCTAGGGTCACTAGTCTCTCCTATGGCGGCGGCGTCACGCGCGCATGGGTGCGCAGCTGCGCTGCAAAAAACAAGCGGCGCTGGAAACTGTCCTGCAACCCCACCTGAATTGAGTGAGGACGAACTTAGAGTCCGATGATGACAACACCTCACCTTCAGGTTTTATGGCGATGATGTTTTGCGTCAGCTTGAGACACCCAGACCCGTTCGTGGGTTTGTTTTGTTTATGGCCTCAAGTTGTCTCCTCTGCCACAAGTGCGTAGCTGCTGACCTTTGAGCGCAATCTTATAGCCACTCTGGTATTGTGCAAGGTCTGCACGTCACTCAGGTGGTGGGCTGGCTCTGGCTTTAGAGCTCCTCATGACAAGAAAGCCACTGGAGCACATCTTGGCTCCCATAACAGAACAGTGCAAAAAGTTTTAGAACTGCGTGCGATATTTTCTTTTTTTGTTTTTTAATAAAAAATGCAAAGAAATGTGCTTGGATGCATATATTGGAACGACAAACTATGGGGAGTGAGGCGGCTCATGGAAAGAGGGGATGCTGCACTAAATAGTGAAGTTCGCTGGCCATCTGATTTAAAAAGGGATTATTTACACCACAAGCATCCATCTATATTGGAACACCTGCAGGCTCTAATAATCACACAAAAAAAATTTACTGAGGAATGTGTACGAGTTCTTATGCGTCTCACGAAGATCCAAGCGACGCTTCACTGCTTTACATGACGAATAAAACAGCGCCTCTGTTCAGATTTTCTTTGTCTATGTGAGTTTATATGACAGTTATTGTTTTTTATACTGGTTTCTGGGTCATTTATTAACAATTTATATTCTGATATTTCTTTGTTTTAAATATTTTTGCACATATAGTGCTTTTTATTGCATTGTTTACCAGCAAGCGACAAGAAAAATCTCACACTTTTCACATTGTTATTCATTTCATAATATTTTTGTTGCTCTACAACATATACTTTGGGAAAGAGCATTGGGTTATGCAAAATTTGATATGCTGCAATGCATGCTGGAGTACTTTTCAAACTGGCAAAATCAATATGCGCCGAAACATATGAATAACCATTTTCTCCCGGTAACGAAATACTCTATTTACTCGCGTAATGAACGCACTCGCGTCATAAGCACCCTCAACTTCAGTCGTCAAAATTTGGATTTTTATTTTCTCTGCGTAATAAACGCACCCCCTACATTTGCCCGCTGCAGTCCTGTATCCGACACCTGTCGCCTTCTTGCCCTTTGGATCTCTTTCTTTTTTTATTATTATGCCGACCGCTCTCAGCAGGGTTCGTTCAGGTCCTTGAAAACCCTTGAATTTGAAAAATGCACTTTCAAGGCCCTGCCCACAAACAGGAACTCAAAATTGTCCATATCAAAAATGCAACAAATTATATAGCAAGAGTAAATGCATCTTGGTGCATGTATCATGCTTATTGAAGCTATAACTAAAGCTTGCAGCTAAGAGCGTGCAAGCCACAAATATTATGGCACCGCCCCTTTAAGGCCCGACTATGCATATGCGTTGAAGCCCGTCAGCGCATATCTTTGACACGGCATCGTGCCTTCCTCCTATCGAGAGTGAGGAAGTGGGGGCAAAAAGTTATGAATACAGTTTTTTAATAATTGCGATATTCATATATTTATTGTAAGTGCAATAAAATTGGTTATTTTTGAAAATTAAAACAATTTAAACTTAACATGCCGCTTTGAGTCTTTAAAAAACTTGCAACAGGTCCTGAAAAGTCCTTGAATCTGTTTTAATTTTTGCATTGGAAACCTGTGCGAACCCTGCTTGGCCACCTTGGCTCGCTTTCTCTCCCCCCTTCGCCCGCTGCCGCGCACCGTATAGTTTTTCTTTCTATCTGTGTGCGCCACATGCCCGGTCTCTTTTACATACTTATGTGCCACAGCAGGGTTCACCAACGGTGTGAGTATAGAGACATCGCAGCTGGCAAGCACACAACGAGTGAAAGGTCACGAAACTTCCCACGCTAACCGACAGTAGCTTCCTGCAAATACAGTGGACTCCCATTAAACGAAACTCAGTTAAACGGAAAAACCGCATAAACGAAACTATCTAGGCACATTTAGAGAGTCTCCTGTATATTTAATGATAAAAAGTTTCGGGTAATCGGAACATTCTTTAGCTTACATCGGTTAAATGAAACTAAAGCAAGCAAAATCTATGAATGGCGGAAGTGGCCACGGCAGTCTAGTAATCATGAAACAAATGCCAAAGCTAGCCTAGCCAAGCCAATCCAGTGATTGCACATGTCTGCGCACACCGAGCAGCAATCGACGTCTTGTCCTGAACTTGAGGACAGCCTTGAGGAAACCTATAGCTGAAGTTCAAGGTGAGGACCCGTGCTCAAGAGGTAATGAGATGGTGTGTGGTTCAGCACCCATTTCAGTGGCTGACAGTGCAGCAAGAGATGCTGTCATCTTGTTGCAGCGCTACTTTGAACATGATGGTGGCAGAGAGTTCCTGCCCAACCTTACAGCAATGCGCTCCTACAGTGTGAAAAAGTGCTTGAATAACTTCAAGCAAATTGTTATCACCTCCTTTCTTTCCCGAGTTAGCAATATTAGAACCATTTTTATTTTTAATACCATAGTAGTATTGTAAACTTCAAAATGTTTTTGTTTAGTCAGCCACAGTTGGTGCTTTTGAAATAAAGTCATATTTCATTCATTTTGTGGGCTTTGCTTAAATGAAACTTCTCATAAATGGAACAAATTTTCTTGCCTCTTCGAGTTTCGTTTAAGAGGAGTCCACTGTATGGAACTATAAAGCCCAAGCACATGCACACAGTTTTCGAGCAGCGATGACGAGATTTTTTGTCGCTATGGCAGTCGCGAAGGGCCATTCGTCACCATCATATCGCAGGTTTCTAGAAAAGCAGAAAGAAATTGCTTGTCGCCCAGAAAAAATCATGACTGTTCCCGCAACATGGTCGCCGATTATCAATTCGGTTGCAAATGAAGTGGCTGCTGAATTTTGTGATTAATCTCGTTATCGACAGCTTGTTTTGATGCTTTGGTGGTAGCCTACTGCGATGTTGGATGCTTGCTACAACGTCAACGGTGGCAGTGTGATTGTCATGCAAGGTTGGCTAAGCGCATCGGGGCATCGTAGCGCACGCTTCTGGGTGCCCTCGAGATCACAGCAGATATCACTGTTACGGTTAAACGATTGCGAGAAAAGATAGCCATGAAATGCTCTTATGGCGTGCATGGGCGGTGCGGGAACAGCTTGCAGAAGATAGTGTCTTCAACCACCAAAGATGAGTAAAGTGCTACTAAAGAGCTGACAACCTGACTTGCATTATTGCATTCTTGTGATAATACTGAAAAAGTTTTCATTAAACTTTCCCTGCATAATAAATGCACCCCCAACTTTGCTTCAATTTTTTAAAGAAAGAAAGTGCGTCCATTATGCGAACATTACGGATGTTAATTGACATTGCGCAGATATATACAAGCACAAGGACAAAGTGTGGCCAACCTAAACACTGAAACCAAAACTGCGGGAAGTATGTACAGAATACATTTTCCCTCCCTCATTCTATTTCTTTCGTTAGGGCGTTGGCATGTTAGTGTAGGTCATTCGCATGCTGTTTACACGTGGAAGGAGAAATACACAGCAAGAAATATACATCAATATTTACACACTAAGTGATCTATATAAATACATAAATTTCAAGGAATTACACAAGGTATTAGGCATGCCAACTAAGGAATATCTGTGCATTCAGGCTTGGTAACCATATTTGTCTGGTTGCCATCTCTCTCGGTGTGGCTGAATGCGACGACCAGGTGGGCACGATACCGCAGGTTCTTCTGTGTTGTTCACGGGTTGGGCATAAGGCAGTTTCTGAAGCAGGAAACTGTTTGTGAGTAGCTGACCTCATTGGTAAATGGGGATCTTGGTCTGCTCCATGCAAAGGTTGCGCTGCGGGAACATTTGCCACGGCAGACACTGGCTGCCATGTTGCAGCGAGAAGTGTGGCAGATAGTTCGGCAAAACTTCGAGAGCTCATTCAGGCTCACTCGTAAATATATTTTATGCTTAGCCTTCACTCTGACTCGGGCATGAAATTTTTTTGAGCTGGACTCGCTCGGATTCACACTCGCGAAGATGTTCTTCAGTCAGCTTCACTCGT